CACGTTCCAAATTAAAGGAAATTTGGGTATAATGTTAGTAATATGGTCCATCCGTACGTCTGTGTCACTTTCTTCTTCAAACTTTTTTTTTTATTTTTAAGCAGAGACACATTTATATTTTGGATTGATACGTGTTGTCCTGTATAGGTACTGTAAAGTTTTGGATTTTTGATATTCCCCAGGAGCAAAATCGGGCAAAACATTTTTTTTTTTGTTCCCTGCAATTATCTTGTTTTCAAAACTCCCATTGCATTTTACCCTGTAGCCTATTGATCTTTGATAGATAATTGGTGATGTCCTGTAGATGTGCACTATACTGACGTACATACCTATATGTATCGCAGATATTTTTCATGCAAATCTTTCAGAACGCGGAGACCGGTCAATCGGATGAGACCGTACAAACTGAGGTCCAGTGTCGCAGGCACAAAATGATATCTCACTGGCAATATTGCTCAATTGCCCTCTGTGCCAAGTATAGCTCTAATGTAGCTCTTCAGCCGCAATCCATGGCTCTTATTCCCCTCCCTTTAAAGTGGAGAGCTGCTGCTCAAGACGTCATTTTTAACTTAGGTTAAAAAAGTGTGCAAGAGGGGGAGTCCACTATTTTTAATTTTAAAACTGGGAAAAGCCTGTTTTGCTTCCTTTAAGGTGATTTGTACCCCTGTACAATCTTAAATTGATTCCACGGACATGGCCATGATAATGTCTTCGTATAGCTGGTTATATATCCTGATGGTGGTAGGAAAGTACGATTCCTTGTAGATGTCAGTATGGTAGAATGGATCCTGCTACCGTGTTTTTGACCTCTTGTGACTATTCCTGTTTGGCTGAATTTTTTTTTTTTTGGGGGGGGGGGGGGCCGTTCTATGGCAATAAGGGAAAGGACAAAACGATACATCACGGTAGCCTTTGCTTTGATTCTGCATTGATGTTAGCTATCCCACTCTCTGCCTGTCAATCATCATTGGGACACTACTGCTGGTGTTGTAGTTATCAGTCACCAACTTTGCACTCTTCGCTGCATTGCTTCTATTTTGTCGATGTTTTTCTTAGTGTGAGGGTCCCAGACAGTGAATGCATATTCTACCTAGGGTCTGACCAATGTCTTGTAACTTTTGTCCTAAATGTTGCTTGGACACGTCGAGAAGTTCCTCGTCAGAAGGCGGTGGTGTTTGCCTTCTTATAAACACTATCAATATGATGGTTCCTCGATAGGTTGTTGGAGATACTGACCCTTAGTTACTTGACCTTGATGGTAACGGCCAGTTCCTTCCCGTGGATGTTATATGGAGTAATGTTTTGTTTCTGTTTGGTGTTGATTCGGATAATTATCTGACACTTTTCTTGGTTAAAATGCATAAGCCAGTCTAATTCAAAATTTTGAGATTGTCGAGGTCCATCTGGACTTGTCCGGCATTGGCCTCCCTAGTGATGGTCCTATACAGAAGGCAATCGTCCGCAAACAACCTGGCCTTGGATATCCCTCTGGCGGGTAGGTTGTTGATATATGCCAAAAAAAGCAGTGGGCCGAGGACCGTTTCTAGGGGCACTCCGGCTGTCTTGGCTTCGTCTGGTGAGAAATGGTCTTCCACCAGTTCTCGTTGCGATCGATCAGATAACTCCGGACTTATCCAATTGAGTAGATTACATCGTATACCTTTGTGGTCTAGTTTGGCAAGCAGCCTCTTATGTGGAACCTTGTCAAATGTGGAACCTTGTCAAATGCTTTTGAAAGGTCCAACAATTGTGTATTAGCCTGGGCGTTGTTTTTAATACTCATGGTGAGGACCGGACCTGGATTGTTATTAGATGGTAAGGCTATTGTGATGCTCAAAGAAATTCATCAGATGCCTGTGGAAGATGAACTCGTAACTTACATCACATAGAGATCAAGGGCATAGGACGATAGTCCGAAGTCTTACTCATGTCAACCTTCTTTGATAATGGCGAGACATTTGATTTTTTCCAGATCTATTGCATTTGACCTTGATCAATGGATGCCTGAAAAATGTTGGTGAGTACGTATACTGGTGTTACAGATTGAGCCATCTCTTTCATGAATCTAGTTGAGATATCATCTGAACCAATCGCGTTATTTGGGTTGAGACCTTTCGGAAGATTCAATACGCCCTATCCGTGACTGATATCAGTTGCCAATGGGATGTTATACCACAGAGTCTGACACCTCTGTTTCATCTTTGGATATTTTATACGTAAAAAACGTTAATGGTAAACTAACAACCGAGCTATAAATGTAAAGACTTTTCTATCGTCAACTTCCCTTACCTATGCAGCAATATACCTTCGTCACCTGTATACGGAGTTTATGTATCTCAGTTGATTCGATACGCAAGAGCATTCTCTACGTTTGAACAATTTCTAAAACAAGGTAAAGTATTGACAAACAAGTTGAAGAAACAAGAATATCAGCAGTCTCATTTAAAGTCATCATTTCGTAAGTTCTACTGTCGATACAATGACCTTGTTCAGCAAATACAAGTTATCAGTCAAATACTGACTGACGTTTTTCATACTTATTGTTAGGCCGTTATTTATACACTGAATTGTCGATGGATTTTTCCTTTATTTTCCGATCATGACAAGGAGCACACGGTGGGTGTGACCTATCGGCAGGGTATGCTCACTCCTCTATGGCACCTGATCCCACCTCTGATGTTCTTGAGGTCCGTGTTTGCTTTGCTCTTATTTTGTATTGTTTTATAAACTTTTTATCTTGAATACTGTTCCTTATCTCCGTATGTTTCATTCTAGTGATGGATATATCCTAAAACTTCGAAACATAGCGGGTTCCAGTAAATGCTCAACCAAACCTCTTTCTTTACTCCTCACTAAGTTATAAACAGAAGTGAAGGAGATGCCTTCAAGAGTACTGTGCAACAATATATTCAAGAAGTGTTGTAAATCAGAAGTGGATACTTAAAAATTCCAAGGAACTTTTAGACAATTTGAAATCACAAGATTTTACCAAAATTAGCAGCTTAAAAACTTTTCAACTTTATACACATCAATTCCCCACGATAAATAAAAATCCAGGCTTTTTGATATCATTGACAGCTGCTTTATCAATAAAAAAGGGAACTCGTAAATTTACTTACCTTGTTATTGGTCATTTGCAAAATTATATTTTGTTAAAAAACGTTCTGATTGTACACACAAGCACTCTGATGTTGACATTAAAAAGATGCTTGAGTTTCTGACAGTATGTGGTATTTTGAGACCAGGTCTTCCAACAATCTATTGTATTTGTACCTATCACGCCCTATTATTAGAAAACCTAGTTCTGTATTCATACCCCGGTATGAAGCAGAATTTGTATGAAAATCTTATCTTACACGTGAAAAGAAGAAAATACTTGCTGTGGCCTTCAACTCGACATTTAGGTATATCGACGACGTATTGTCAATTAACAACGGTATTCCAGTCTTATGTCGAGACGATATATCCGATATATCCTGGTGAGCTTGAAAGATACCACAGAGTCTGACACAGTTGTTTTATGTTTGGATGTTTAACTTGAAAAAGACGTTAATTGTAATCTAACCATCAAGCTCTATGGTAAACGTGACAAGTTTATATGGTAAACGTGACAAGTTTAACTTTACAATCGTCAACTTCCCTTGCTTATGCAGCAATATACCTTCATCGCCTGCATACGGAGTTAATATACTAGCTAGTATCTCATTTTATTCGATGCGCAAGAGCATGCTCTACATATGAACAATTTCTAAATCGAGGTAAATTATTGACAAGCAAGTTGATAAAAATCGAATATGAGCAGTCTCGTTTAAAGTCAGTGACCTTGTCAGTAAATACAGTTTATCATTGAGTCAAATGCTGACCAGTCTGACGTTTCTCATACTAATTGTTATTCCATTATTTATACACTGAATTGACGACGGATGTTTCCGTTATTTACCGATCATGACAAGAAGCAAACGGCTGATGTGACCGATCGGCAGGGTATGCTTACTCCTCCATGGCACCTGATCCCACCTCTGATGTTTTGGAGGTCTGCTCTGCTCCTATTTTGAATTGTTTTATGGGCTTTTGATCTTGAATACTGTTTGTTATCTTCCTCTGTTTCATGTATAGTCTTGGGAGCTGATCAATACTTGTGGCTCATGGAGAATTGAGAGTGCTTACTTCTCCTAGGCACGCGATCTTTTTTAATTTCCGGAGGTATTTTAAGCTCTTTTGAAAGATCTTTAGTTTTTATATTGATCTCTATTTGCTATTATTGCTCTAAAGCCACATTTCGAAATTTCTGGGGGTCTGTATTTTATGCTCTTTTAACAGATCTGTATAGTACACAGATTTTTGTAGATCGTTCTCTGTTTCTTGTCTTCTTCGTCTTTTTCATCTAAAGTCTTTTTTAAAACATTTCTAAAGTGATGATGTTCCTTACATTAGGATATACGGAATGTTGTTCAATAATGTTGTTGCCCGGGTGGGTTGTTAGATCTTCTGCTCTAGAGTCGCCGAAAAAGGAGCTAATCCTTATATCGCTGGTTTGAATCCACTGCGGGACGTGAAGACCGGTCTTTCTGAGGAGACCAAGACCTGTGTCGCAGATAATGACAAGAAAAAGATCGCTCACTTCTCAATGACCCTAGGTGCCGAGCATATTGATCAAAATTTGCAGTCCTCCATCTGAAAGTGGTGGCATCTTCAGTTGAGTGAAAAACTCCCGAAAGGGATATTAAACAACAAACAATAACGCGTTATTTCTTCTACGTACAATGTAAATCTCTTCTTTTATAAATGTTGCGAAACGGTTTGATCCGTTAGTTATGCATTGGAATTGTTGTTTGGTTGGAATGGAATTTGTTCTTGTTGTATGAACACCAAAATCAGGTTTATCTATGTTGCTAAAGGACCACTGGGAATAAAAAAACATAAGGAAAATATCTGCAGATGCAAGAGATTCTAATCCCATTTCCCCCATATTCAATAAAGATCATACAAAAAGAACTAAATACGTCTTGGCAATTTGTTTTATTATAAAAGTAACAAAATAAATTCTCGACAGAATCTTAACAAAGATTAGTATATCAAAATAAACTCTATTCACGAACAACAAGACTATTTATGAAGTGCAGTCAGTAGAGGTCAATATCTAATTATATTCTCGAGGTAAATAAAGACTGGATATTATACTCTCTCACGTTTCGCGTTAACACTTTTTTCTGCCATAGCGAACAATTTTCTGCTAATGAAGACAAAACCCTTTCTAACACGATGTATGTAACCTTCATTTTCGTTGTTTGGTATGGATACATTATTTCCATTAGAGATTTAATTGCCCATGGTGGCTGTTGTTGCTACATAACTATACATTGTACATCACAGTTTGGCATTCTGGAAAAAATATGGCATTTGTTTTCTTAAATCACATTTTCTTAATTAAAAAACAAAGTACAATTTATATTGAACATTTTTTTTAAAAAAGCAGTAAACTAGTGACAAAATACTAGATCACCTATTAACTAAATTAATGCTGGGACTATGTATGCAATATAAAACACTCATACAATATATTCAATTTTAACAATCATTCAATATGAGTACTATGAACTAAAAAAGAAAAGAGTTAACATTCTCTAAATGCAAAGAGCAATGAGAGTAAAATATTCCAATGATTTCATATGAACCAAGGTAAAGAAAAATATAGTCCAATTTTTCAAAACCGGCTAAAAGCAGAAGTGGAACATTCTATACTAGTAATGGGTTTAAAAAAAAATAGAATTGACATTCCATACCATCAAAGGCACCAAATATTATATTTCATCATTTCTATAACCTGAAGGCAATAATATGGTACAATATACCATACTACATTAAGGCTATTAGTATTAAGCACAAGATTCTAACAGCATAGCTGCAGAACTGTAGCTCTTTTCTTTTAAAAAAACGGACAGACTGTTCGAATTTTCTCAAGCAGAGATTTCTTCAGGGACCAGGGTTAGTATATAGGTCATTGATTTCTGTTGCTACTAATGGCAGTGAAGATGATACAATACCTTACAGGGAACAGAAACAAACCTGTGCAAATATTCCAAAGACAAAAGGATACTGTAGAAGTGGAAAACATTACGGTGTTTTTAATTTCACTATCTTCACGATTTAAGAATTTTCCGCGAACTTTAAACCATCGTGATTATTATTTCACGTCATTTCTGCCTAAAAACAGTCATAGTAGCTGAATATTTACAAACGATTCTCCGTGAAATTAAAACCACCGTGAAAGGTAACTTTCCATCAAACCGTGAAATTTTAGACACGTGAAATTAAAGACATTTACAGTATTTGAACCTTATCTAGTTTTGTACATTTCATATGAGACCCGTCAAATGAATAACAGCTACAGATTAATTCATCAAATGTACTTTGAGGGGGTGTCATGCTCTGGAAGTGTACCATTTTCCATATACCCCACTACATAAAATTTTTAAAGGATTTCTATAAGATTTCTAAAATACAGAAATGACAGCATAAAATAATTAACAATTTCATCACAAACAAGCTCAATACCCCTATACATACAAGCTTCAATTCATATCAATTTAATGTTTATGTGAATGTCTGTGAGCAAATGATTATCACAAAGTGCTTGTCAAAAAACAGTGTTAAAACACAAAACAAATACTAACATTAACAATATCAATATTCATATAATAAAATCTTCGTCTTCTTCTTCAGATAACAACATAAGCCTACCGGTTGAATCATTAGATTTTAATTTATCCTGACGAAACAATGGAAAGCCCTTTGTATGGTAACAACATTTATTTGAGCCCCTACAGCATTTACTTGAGCCAGCACAACTTTTAATTTGGCAACAGTGGCAACATTTGGTACAGAAATAGACACTCATGGCAATAATAATGATGAGGAAAACTCCAGCAAATATGGCTACAGTGACGTAATGAAAAGGCAGGGGACAGTTACAGGTATGGTGATTGCTGTAACCCTCGTTACACTCCCAGTTCTTAATCCTAGGACCGTGATGGTGCTGGGTCAACCAAAATTTGTCAATGGTTGTATTAAGGTTGACAGATACTTGCTCAAACAGGAGATGGGTCTCGTTGACCACTATTAATCGTCCGTAGGAATGGCTACTCCTCGTGTCAGCTCTAAAGGCAGACCAAGGCTCTACAAGGAAAAGTTTTATATCATTATACATGTAGTTCAAAAAATACAAACCAAGGCTCTAAAAGGACAAGTTTTAATTATATCATTATACATATAGTTCAAAAAATACAATAGAGAGATTGCAGTCTAAAATGTTTTATATAAAGATACCATGTGTGTATCTTTGAATATTAGAATCTCTGTTTTCCTTCATCGTTTTTGGTCATGATCAAAGTCTTTTTTTGTTGTTAAAATTCCAGCCTATATTTAATTCATGCTGGACTACCAGGATAAAAAAAAAGTTCACAAGTTGCATGTCTCTATAAATTTTCCGTTACCAGAGGAAGATGAAGAACTTTTACAATATACCGGTATCAAATTATTATGCTTTACATCCAAACATACATGTATATAACGTTAGAGAAGTCTTACTAGGTTCTCCCATGTAGTCCACATTCTCCCCACACCCAGCAGCCCCTGAGATCACGTGAACGGGTGCTTCTGGGTCTTCATAACTCTTGGATGTCACCTGATAATCATACACCGGCCAAAGACGCTCGTACGAGTGTTCGTGTGCTTGTAAGACAAAATCCACACCTTGGGCGTAAAATAGATCTTCTAGTCTAATAAAATAAAAAAAATATCAAAGTATGTGTAAAACAAGGAATATCATTTATTCTTTTTAACTACGAGGGTTGATCCAAAAGTAATGCCACAACTTTGATATAATTGTTACAAATCGACGTAAAGCAACAAAATTATACATGATGGAAGCTTTATTTAATTCAAATCAGACCTGAAAAATTAAAAACAAAAAAGATGTATACTTTCAAAAATATCGGATTTTAAACAATGTGCGTTTATGGTGGTCGCCGCACCTAAATAACGTCATATAACGTCATATGACGGATACACAACGTCATACTTTTAAGCGTTTCCCCTTCGTTTAATTAAAAATTATTTGTGATTTGCAGACACTTTCACCAATTCCACTTTTTAAAAGAATTCTTGGTACCATTATACACTCACTCTTTTCATAATTCAGCCCTCTGTCAAAATGTTTTGAACAGTAGCATAAGCTAGACAAACTTAAAGATTCACATGTCACTCTATACGTCTGTCTTTTTTTGACAACGTCAGACACCATTGCACGTTTCCGTCCGATCTCAGGATCTTTCGGTCTTCTTGTCCTCTGATGATCATTCAGTGACCAATCACCCGCCCAAAATTGCTGAAACCATCTATTAAGATGTCTCTTATTTACATTCTTTATTCTGTAGTCTGATTAATAAACGTAGCTTTCGCTTGTGATGATTCCCATATTTTAAAGCAAAAAGCATTACATCTAGTCGAGCCGTTTTTCCCCATTTCGACAATCCCTTTGTTCTATTCAACATAGTAAAACAACAATGTTTATGATCACAAATACCAATGCCGTCATTTAATTTTCAATTAATGACTAGAAAATGACGAGAATTGTGTCTTTTGAAAAGTTGGGAGATTAGGTGCTTTTTTAGAATCTTTTTAGTCTGTTTGTCTTTTTCATTCTAAGAAAAAATACACTTTAAAACATGACGTTCTGTTGTGACGCGGCGACACCCCCTATACTCTATGTTTTAAACATCTATAAAATAAATTCAAATAAACATTATGAAACTAAAATAGATTTATATTTGTGCATCTTTTGGTATATTGTATTTGATAATATGACGCCAAATTTAAAAGATATGGACACTGTGACATTACTTTTGGATCAACCCTCGTATATAACCCTTTCCTACCATTCATTCATTTTGGGACATGAAACATGCTCAGCTAGATTTGAAATGGTTACTTTATTCCAAGATAATAGTTTATAAAGTCTCATCGTTTAAGCAGTAAGAGTAACGAAACTCTTTATTTAACATCTTTTCCAATCTTCGTACGTGGGCCACGGGGAACTGACATTTATAATTAGATACTTTTCAATAACCATATTGATTTTATTTTACGTTAAATAATCAAATTAATCTCGATTTTTAACTTTACTTAGGTGATAATCAATTTATCTTTCTTATCATTTTGATTATTCTACTGGACTTTGCTTTGGCCACGATCCTCTGCACGTAAACTCTTTCGCATGATTACACGAAAAATATTAACGTGTGATGTGACGGGGCGAGTTTTAATTAATGTTTTGACATCTTTGTAGAATCCGTGGAAGCGGTACACCACACTATTATTGGAGCACTCGGTAATTTTCCTTGCTGGTTTATGAGATCTGTGTACTTTTTATACCTTATTGCATTCTAACGGTATGCTTTAATTTATATCAAGTTAAATATCTAATGAAAATTAAATAATGTGTATAATACGGAAATCCAAATCGATGGTTCATCGGGTGCATTCGTACACTCACGAACAATAATGAGATTGAGGCCTAATGGAAAGATTTACCTGAACGCACTCAGGTTTCGGAACGTAGGATTATAGATAATAACCATAATTTCCGATAACAAAGCAAACCATGGGAAACGTTCATTAATGGTGAAAACTGAAGATTCAGTTGAATTATATTTCTGAAGTTTTTAGAGTAAAGAAAGTTCAGTCTACCAATTTCCTCTCTATATTTATCTTTCTCATGAGAACACATTTCGCCAAAAATAAATTAGTTAAGAAAGAAAAAAAAAACTGAGAATGGTTGAGTTCCCTGTCGCGATTCTTGCATTGTATCTGAGCCATTTCGTTTGGTGAAAAGACTTGATACTAGCAATTGGAGGGAAAGAGTGGGTGTTCATTGGTTCTTTAATGAAAACAAAATAGTGCCTTAGAACATACTAGCGCTTATATATGGACACTCAGTCTCTGTGCATTTCCTCTCCTAAGACCATTAAATGAAACTTTATTCTCACGTGAGAAATACAGAAATTTACATCAGAAAATTGAAACGACGATATTGTTGTATGGTAATTCCGATTGCCAACATGTGATTACTAATGTATTCACATCTTGCTTCCATATACTGTAGATCACTTAATTTTCGTGACACCTTATTTTCGCGAGATGGTCATTTACTCTTTATTAGCGAGATAAAATTTTCACGAGTTGTGATTTTTGCTCTTAGTCTATATAATCTTAAGGCATGCTCATATACGCGAGCATGAAATTTTGGCGAGCACACTGCCTCGCTTATTTACGCGAAAATAAATTCTCGCGAATAAAAATGATTTACAGTAATGAGTATTGGAATTTTTAATGAAGAATTACATGTAAATGATAAAGGGACTTACCGGTTTTGAAAAGTAAAGATGTAATACGACATGAATTGGATATACCTCTTTTGCAGATTTTTTTTTTAAATTCATTAAGGATATTTTTTTCTGCTTATTAAATTGACAACTTTAAAGTATTTGAGTAGCATTCTACTGGAATTCAATGACCGCTCGTTTATAATTTTTATAAATTTTTTTTGTCTTTTTTATAATTTTCTTTTGAATATACACTTGTATGTACTTATTTATTTTTTTCAATGTAATGTTAACTAATATTTATTACTTGTACATAGAACTTTGACCTTATTTCCTTGATATTAATAAATCGTTATTATGGTTGTAGTAAAATTTTTGAACCAATGGCAGATACATGCCTTGTTTGTTTTTGTTTTGATTTTTTTTTTCAATGTTTCAAGTCCCAATGCAAAAAAGTTAGTATTGTTGTGTAGCTTTACATAAGCGTACATGGAGCCTGCCATGTATAGCCGACAACATGTGTACACCGATACAGTGTAATAGAAGCCTGATGTTAACTAAGTCTGATATATAGCATTTAGCTTAATGTGAACAATATATGAACAATAGCATAGAAAAGAACTGAACTAAAATAAAGGAGCAAATTAATGCGAAGTTGAATATTTACATAACTTTACAGAAATAACTATAATTTCACATGAATCTGGGTAATAATATTGGAACATACCCATATTTGACCCAGTAACCTAGGACTCGCCCGGTACAGTCATCGATGTTTTTGTTAGAGCAATACATTGGGCGATGCCCCATAGCAATAATCCAGGGTCGGTTATGGCGATTCTGGTTGGCCTTCTTCAAGTCCTCTAATAACCAGTTATACTGCTTACATACATAATCTTGATTGTCAACAAAAAAGACTTCTGTTGAATAGCTATAAAGAGAAAATATATATAAATAAATTATGTTTTTTATTACTAAAATTCATAATTATTTAGCAATTTACAATTTTATTGATGCTATAACTGAAATAATATAAATATTGATTTTGCAAAACTAAGTCTAATTCTTTGAACAAGTAAAGACAAAAAATGTTTATTGATTGATGTCACCCAAAAATATCTTCTAAACCAACAATTTTAGCCATGCAATGAAGCAAAAAGAAGAACCAGACTTTTCTGTTTAATTAAATGAAAGTAATTCATGCATATGGATAAAATTCAATATTTAAACAAAATATGATTGGCCTCACTTCATTTTGAAGCATACAAAATGATAAATCTTATTTCTTTCATGATAAATCAGTTTGCAGTTCTATTAATGCTTTTTACCTAATAAAATGGACAGGTCCTGCGTCAACACTGTACCAGAGTCTGTCATAACGCATCGGCCAATCAGCGTGCGGCATAGAGAACCGGACTCGGTAATGGTGCATGTCCTTCTCCAATTCTGTTTATAAAGATAATCTTTGGTTTCAAAAGCAGTCATCATATGTTTGATCTTATAAACTCTATCGGGTATGGTTCTTTCATCTGCTCTTTCTCCATCTATTACTGTTTATATTAAATGTGAAATTAATATTTGTTTTCGTGCCAGAATAAGATGAATTCTACCACACGATTCCAGTTTCTTTTGATCAGAAGAGACTTTTACACCACAAGACATTTCAAATATATTTTGAATATATCCTTACTTAGGTCACTTAGAGCATAAGAATAAAATAATGCAAGAGTTTTTTTTCGTTACTTTCTATACTGAAACATGTAATTTAGCACATGTTTAATTACGGCATTTTTTGTAAATATAATTATGTATAGAACACCCGTTTGAAAACCTAGATTTCAATTTCCCTTCAGCAAGGTCGGACGGCCTTTTCCCCTGTGTAAACCTTAACTTTTTTACGCCATGTGATATCGGTACCTTTAGAGTTGTATACATTTTACTTGAGTCAATTTTGCCACATTTATTGATATTAATTTTTTTTATTTGAAAAGATATTTATATGAATATGTGATATTATATAAATTTTTTTGAGGTTTGATATATCGACTTCACAGGAAAGCATATTTATATGCTTTTCTGTGAAGTATATATCTATGTGATATTATATAAATTTAGCCTTTTGATGAGGTCAATCCCTCGATATATAGACCTTATATCGATATATATGCTTTCTCTAAGGTCTATATATCAGGGAAAGCATATCGTTAATAAGAAATGTCGACCTTCTCATACAAGGCATTGTTATGTCATTGCATTATGACGTCACAGTAATGAAAACAGCTGAAGTATTGTTTTTACATCAATAAAGACTATTGTGAACAGAAGAAAGTGTCCACATCCAGTCTGTAACACTTTTTATACTTGTTATATTATTTTTTATGGAGATGGACAAAACAAAATTTGAAGAAAATGGGAACTAGATAGTTTTTCTCTTGTATTTTTTAACACTTAGAGACTATAGATTAAAATTAATTTGGGCTGCTTAATGTAATTGTTTTTCCTTTATATTGATAGATTAATTTAGGGAATTTAATAATTCAAAAGGCTACATTTGTTTATATTTTGTATTGAGTTTTGAAAAACATCTCTAATATGTTTTAATAAAAAAAATTATCCTTATTCAAGGCACTGTTACGTCTTACCAATTACTATATTACAGGACATCAGAATTATAAATAGGAGTTTAAGTTTATTTTTATTTTTCAGAAACATCAAGTCATACACTGCATTAGCTATTGCTAATAGAAAATTATTTCCATATTTAGAAACATCAAGTCGAAATGCATTTCAGAAGCTATATAAATTTAGTAACACAAGTCTTTAAATGCTGTTATATACTTGATCATGGGATCAAGTTTGAGCCGATCAGAGAGCTTGGTATAAATGAGAAAAATAATATCACTTTTCTGAATTAGTGATATTGCTAAATGGCAGTATATCAAAGTGGTTTCTTCATACAATGCACTACAATGTCATTCCGGAGAGCACAGGCGGTATGTACATACACACACTATCTAAAACAATCAAAATCGACTGTGGTAAATCCTTAAGGCACAAAGCAATCGCTACTTTGAGTTTGAAATCATCATCTTCCTGTATCGAATCTTCCTTCCGATTTAAGAAGTACCTATCTAATATGATGTTTCCGCTGCCTCACTGACAACAATGTCAGATCATCGTGAACTTGTTCAGCAGTAAGTACGTACATCCTTAGCATTATTTAATCAGATTCTGATTAAGATTGTCTTGATCAAATTTCCTTTAAAGAATACTTAAACTGCGATTGCGAGCCACTCTAACAGATCAACATTTTTCCAGTATACTGAATTGACCATGAATGTTTTGTTGATCCTTTTCCTTCAATTATATTTATATGAAAAATAGCTATATAACTTTGAATTTCATGAAAATAGCAACATAATTTCCACTTAGGTAGGGAACATTTCATATGGGCGCATATAACCAACAATTAAAGTAAGTTTATTGAATATAGATATATTTATTCTTACTCTTTTCTTTAAATTTTGTAACATATTATTTAAAGAATATAAGAACAATTAATCAGAACTTTATTTTTTAATCTTTATCTCTGTATTTGGGGGGGGGGGGGGTTAAAAATATACGTACAAATGAAATTATTATTTTATACGCCCAAATGAAAAATAAAATCTCACCCAAATGAGATCAAAATCCCTCCATATTAAAAGAACCATCTGAAATAATAATTACCACAGACCTTTTTTTTTTTTTTTTTTTATCTCTGATGACATACAGTTTACATCAGTCAGTTTTCGAAAAAGAGGAAAACCCAAATTAATGTCACCAAAATTTACTTTTCACCATTGTGTAGTAACTACTGAATACAGTAAACCTTCATTATCTCGAACACCCATGCACAGGGATATATATATGTCGAAGTGAGGTGCCAGTCCCAAAACCTTTAATTTTTTACATTCATTATCTCAGAATCTCCGATATCTCAAGCATAGGCGTAGTTAAGTTTAGGATTAAGCTTAGTCCCGTCGAGTTCGTAATAAAGAGGTTTGACCATGCACAATTAAATCAAAAATAATCATTTTTATGATCATTATCCCGGCCTGTACTTTAAGTAAATAGTTATCTAGAATTCCTTAAAGCTGAATGGGAAAAAAAAACACTCTCTATTTGGCATTACATCTGTGCGTTCTTTTTAGCGTCTTTTACAGAAACCAACTTCCGCTAATTCAAGTAAAATGAGATCATGAGGCAATGCGCTAAATTAAATCTTCGCTAACTTGTTCAAATATTTCAATTTCCGCCAAATATCGTTCACGCTAAATATAATACAGTAAGCCCTCATCCTAGAATTATTATATTTCTTATGTGTTTTCAATAATAGAACGAAATCTGACCATGATTGCCAGGAGCTGTCATGTAAGGAATTCTCGCTGCTATATCTTGTAACTGACGCATAAAGTCGTCCCCTACCTGCAAAACATATAGATAATTCAACATCTCAAAAGATTTTTTATGCATATGATTGTTTGAAATAAAGCTGTAACTTTGCTAAAATACATAGTTACCTTCCCGCCGTTAGAATGTAGATTGTATCCAAAGTCACCAATATGCCATATTGCGTCATAAGAAGTCCTTGTTATATCATCCAGCAGAGCAGGGAATGTCGGGATACCACCCACCGCTCCAAGGTCGCCATACAAGAGAAATTTAGCCTCCCTTTTCTACAATATTACGGAAAAACTGAGAATAGAAGATGAACAAAAGCAGATTCTGCAGTCTATTCCAGAAACAAATCTTGTGAATTTTGCATGAATTGACTTACATTGTACAACATCGAAAGCCATTTTCCTATGATTTCCTTCTTTATTATCAATAGGTAAATACGAAAGATGCATGATCTTTTATATTGAAAAAATAATCTTTTTCTGATGTTGTAAAGCAAGTACTTGCACTCTTATTGTAAATTCAACGATTTCATTATTTCTCTCTATTTTTTATTTTGTGTGTGTGTGTGTGTGTTTTGGCCCCCTTTCAAATCCCACAGCCCTTAATTAAACAAGAGGCCCATATGGATCTTGACGCCACCAGATGATCATGGGTCTCTTAGACCCCTTTTATCCACACGAAACTTGCGAAGACCAGTTGCAGGAAAGTAGCTCGCTGGTCCTAAAAAAAGGATGGACGACCAGAGAGCTAGGGAGTTTCACCCATAAGGGATGTTTAATAGTGAGAAAGTGAGGAGAAATAAATCGAAAAAAGGTGCACATTGTGCTCAATCATTATACTCTTTCTATAATGGATGGCACTGTAGTTATTTAGTCTGTCAATTTATTTTTACTTCGGAGAGCTACAGTTCCGCTGTTACTGTAGGTCACCAAAAATGTTACATCTGGAGGAGCTAGGATTCCACATTTATTGTCATTCTCAAATTCAGATAGACTGTTTCCTTGAGTTCAGGAGTAAAGAGAAGGATTTTCTTAAGCAAGACACAAATGCAGTTTTTTTCTTGAAAAATCGGTAAAATGTTATAAAGAGTAGAAACTTTATTTATTTTATATTGTCATAAAAGATGAATCCGTACAGGGCTTACTGCACGACCCGTGTGACCTATTGTAGAGGGTACTTAAATGACTAATTAATAAATAATTCTCAATCTCTGTTACCTCGACCCTTTTGTTGAAAACGTCCAAATTGAACCCTCATTAAAACTTCTGTTTATACGGTAAAATATGTGTGATTAAATTGAGCTAGAAATGGAGAAAAATTACCGTTTCGCCACCCGGAGTCTTGAAAGAGAAGACGGAACTGTTTGTCCTCTCACCATCCTGGGAACAATGTACCTGATAGAAGTATCGTCTGCCAGGGGAAAGTCCCTGAAGAAAATACATATATATATATACATGATGATATTAAAAGATTACATGATTTCTATGAAGTCTTTGCAAAATAAGCATGTAAAAATATATCTCTATAGATCAACATGATCAATAGCCCAGTACTGGCCCAAGAAACTTCATGTACATTTTTAGAAATCTTTACCCAAAGCTCAGCTCTGTGAAGTATTTTCAATGCATTCCAATTGTCTAAATTTAATGTGGATATTTCACTGTTGGAATGGTTAATCATGTGAGAGGCTGAAGAACCGAAGACCACGTGGCATGTGACGTGTGATTTGCACGACCACATGACCACTATGACATCCGATCGGTCGCCAAAACTAATGTGAATCTGTTCTGGCACATCAACAGCAAATGCACCTGTCAAAATAAAATGCAATACGATATATAGTAAGAGAATTGAACGAGACAAGTTTAGAATGTTCTTAACAAGATTGATTTTATATGTAGGTGTAATAAAGAGAGATGTCGTGCTTCTTTAGAAAAATTTTGTTCATATAGCCGTATGGTGCTCTAATTAAAATCTGTCTCCATATGTTTGTTAGCGTTTTGCGCTTGTAAAGATAATTGAGTGCGATGTAAATTTCCGGGCTTGAATCGTATGGACCTTTTTCGGTGTGATAATGCATGCTTTTTACATCGCGACAAGTTCTTAACATCTTAATTGGCTTTGAAACATCAAAAGTTGTTTATGTTTCTGCCTAAGGGGAAAACCAAAAATCGATACACATTTCTGTTACATCAACTTTCCTTCGTGCAACGTTTTTTGTTCTTTTCAAATATTTTGTGTGCTTTGAAAGAGGAAATTTTTAACACGAATTGTATTATGTTATTGTGTCAAAAGGGATTCATGTCAGATTCAGCATAGAAGAAATAAATAACGATATAATATTTTCAGTACTTTATTCAAGTTGGAAAAAAGTAAATCCTCAGTTCAGGTCTCTTTACTTCCTGGTAGAGTTAAATAATTTTGAAATGTTATTTAAGAACAGCTGGACGTTCTCTACTGAAGCCAATTTTGTGCTGCACTTTATTCCTTGAATCTGACTAACCCTATATAAATCTACTGCTTTAGGGGGGCACCTGTCACGGAATGACATTGTAAGGTACACGTGTACTCGGACGATACTGCGGGGTATGATTGCTAGATAACCCAACTAAATACACTACAGGAATACAAATTCACATTTCATATTGTATCAATCACGTTTCGACTTCTGTGATTATCGAAAATTAAACAGGCTTGTGGTAACAATTTTTAAAGTAATAGAATTTGAAAAAAAAAAAACAAAAAAAAACACCCATTCCCCCTGCAAAAAAAAAAAAAAAAAAATTAAAAAAAATGTTTGTTTTTAATTGTCTCATTTCATAATATTTAATGAATACTGAAATAATTTAAGTATTTTTTACTGCTTTAATTTTGTCAATTTTTCAAAAAACATAATTACATGTATTGTAAATTTGAAATACAAGAATGAATCACGATATGAGGTGCATTCTCACTTAGTGTCTTTGCTTGAAAACTTCCTGTTTGTATCAAGTATAAACGTAATATACATGTACAGCAAAAAACCCTGGATATCAAATATAGAGATGTTCCGGAAAGTGGGTTAACATGAGCTGAATATAATCAGGAAACTCCTCGTTAAACTCTACCCAGGTTAACGAATCATAACCACATAATTTTAAAGTTAGAAAGATTATACTGAAACTCCTCCAAGCTAACCTTATGCTGGTTGTTATAAGAGATATGATATATTTTATTCAGAATATAACTTTGGGCAATACAACCCATCAGTTTACAAAAATAAAATAACAGCATATATTACAAAATGAATTTTAATGAGGAATGAGTTTAGATTAAGGGGGGGGGGGGGGGGGGGGTGGTCAACTGTTCATCAGTCCCACATTATAAATGTGGCTTCTGCTTCAAAGTATCAAAAATAATGAACATTTGGAATTTCTCGTTTCAAATCATTCTTCAACAGAGATCTATAGAAAATGACAGAGTATTTTGTATGATATGTGAGTGGATAATGAAGCCTGATTGCTCTTATTGACGGTTTGATGAATGACGCTCGTTTGGTGACAGATGAAGTTACATCGCTCTTCTTAATGCTTACTCTAAATAGTACGAATTCAAATTCCCTTCGATATAAGAAAATATTTATTTAAAGCATTTTTAGCATATTTTATTGTGCCAAGTTATATAGTCTCCATGTAGATGTATATAAGCGGGCATACTCTTTAGAGGACTGTAGGTATATTAGTATTAATGAGATTAAGGTTTATGTAGCACAAGTAAACAGAATTGTCATCAATAATTGAAATCGAGTGTTAATTAAAGCAATAGATCTCTAACATTATGTAAGGACTACTGTCGGCTATAAAGTATAACATACGAGGCCTTCTGCGACACCTGCCAGGAACATCCATTGCGTAAATGAGCAACTAGCACTTATCTATTGATTTTACTCATAAATTTGTCAGTCTTACACAAAATTACATAAATAAAAGGGGTGATACAGGACGGAGATCCGAGCTGATGACTTTCCCGTGTCTTGGTTCAGTACTCGGGTTGAATTACAACCCGATGAATATAAATGAATATTCAATTTTTAAAAGTTAAATACGCATATTTTATTTAACGGCGCATTTCCCCCCTTTACTACAGACAATAATAATTATTTTCGTGTATAAAAAAGAGAGAAATCTTATTGAGATTCAGATATTAAATAAGAGCGATTAATTAATAATAGCTAGTTTCCTTAAGTTCATATTTTTTTGGTATATCACAAAAATAAATAAATATACATAAATAAATAAGTAAGTAAATGAATAAATAAATAAACTCATATTTTTAAATCATCAAACGATTAAAAGCTTTGTTATTAAAAAGTTTACTTTGTATATGTACCCAAATCAATGCAATTGTCTCCTTATAATATTCGTTAAAATTCCTAATTAAGCGACAGTAAAGCTCTTTTAAATCATTTGAACATTACTAATTAGGTAACCGTTTTTCCTCGTCCTTGTTACGTACGTATGTAAAAATTCTTTCATAAAAGCATGCTAAATTAAATCGATAATATAACCGTATATAAAAGTCTTTCAGGAGACAATTGAACACATCATTTGTGACAAATGATCAGCAAAAAATTGGAAACTCACCCAGAAAAAACATTCCAAAAATTAAGAAACTCTTCATTGTTCGTGAGATGCGTTTTAACCGTTGACAGATGACCACTGATTTACATGTGTAACGCGGTATCACGGTTAGGAAGTAAAAACATGAATGAGGCGGCACGGCGACTTAACATCGATTACACTGGAGGTATCCGTGTACACGAGAAAACATTACGCCGAGGATGCGATCTTACGTTTGTAGTATACGTCTAGTAGTAAAGATCTGTAAAGATAGAAAACTTCAACCGCACACTTTTTTAGTTGTCCACTATGCGAGAGATCATAATTATTATGTTCTAATTTAGATTTTTTTTTTTTGGAAAATTTTTTTTAAAAAAATATTTGCGTCGGTTGATGCAAATATTAATGATTAATGTACATCTTGTATACAGATAAAGCCATTTCAACTCGTTGAACCCCCGAGAAGTTTTGTAAACAATTGCCAAGTTAACAAAAAATTGAAACAACAGGTTGTATGATGGTTGTAGACTGTTGTAATCAATTGACGTAACAATTATTCAATTTTCTTTTAATTTTTTTAATTTGTAAACTGTCAGACTTCTGTTTTTGTGGTTCGAAATTAAAGACATCTGTGAATGACCGAACGGGAACATTGTTATTTCTGTAAATATCACAGATTAGTTTGTCAACAAAAAATAATTTAATTATGTTTTCTCTCCCACTCTAGCGCCACTGATTGCTAGGTACTGAATCTTATCACATCACTTAATTCGCACGATTTATTTCAACGAATACTGTCACATTCTTTTTTAAAAGTTGGTTTTCTAATTTATATATCTTTTTTTAAAATTTGTTTTTCCATTTAATTTTGTTATTTGAATTTTAGATAAGGTATGGCAAATTCAAGTAAAAAAGAGATTTCATAGTTTTATCGTTTATAAAAGTTTCAAATTATCCTCGTGAGGTTGCAAAGAATTTTCAGCGATGCATACATGAAGTTATATTTCATAACGGACACTTCTGGAGTGTATCAAATTGGTAACATGCAATATGTATGTAGTTGCGGATTCAGAATTGGGTTACGAGGGTTGTCCCCCTTTTGGGTTAGCTGAATACTAAATGTATACTCACCGTCAATAGAAACGCAACACCCTAATTTTATGGTGAAAATTATATACAGGTTATAACTATGTACCAAAAAAGTAAGGACATCTTTAACTTTGCCAAATCAGCTATTTTACGGTTGAATGGATTTCTTTCCATTACCGGAAGTTGCTTTTTAGCCCTCTTAACAGAATTCAAAATTTTCCATTTTTAATAAAATTTTAACAATATTTTGGGTTTCCAAGGTTTTGAAACTGTTAATCATAAGTATTGTACCAAAAGGCCGGGAAAAAATCCTTCTTTCTTTACCGGATGTGATGCCTATATTTCCTCAAAATTACTGATTTTCATTGCTAATGCTGGAAATTCTCAAAATAAAGAAAAAAGAGCTGCAGATACAAATGTACACTATATAACGACTCATCAGGCTCATGTGTTTCAAAAGCATAAATGACAGTTTCTTGACCGGAAGTCAAAAAGTTGCTACACTACGCCAGGTTAGAGAAAATTCGACCCCAATATCTGAAAAACATGTATCTAAAAATGCCCAAGAATATTAATTTCGCTCAGATTGAGACATTGATAAACTTAATGCATGCTAGAAATCGGGCTGCATTTGTTGTATATGGCAGACTAGCACGTTTTCATTAAATGGTCGGAAGGGGGGATGTTTTCAGATTTACCGGGTATTTGTTTCTTTCTAAGGTCTAAAAATAACATTTAATGTTTAAATGGAGCATTAATTTTTTGTAAATTTACTTTTTACTTAAATATATTCATTTTTAATGTTATCATTAAACTTTAGAAGGTAACACATAACTCTTAAAACATCCCCCTTCTTGCTATCAGTCATTTTGAGGAAATATAGGCATCACATCCGGTAAAGAAAGAAGGATTTTTTCCCGGCCTTTTAGTACAATACTTATGATTAACAGTTTCAAAACCTTGGAAACCCAAAATATTGTTAAAATTTTATTAAAAATGGAAAATTTTGAATTCTGTTAATAGGGCTAAAAAGCAACTTCCGGTAATGGAATGAAATTCATTCAACCGTAAAATAACTGATTTGGCAAAGTAAAAGATGTCCTTACTTTTTTGGTACATAGTTATAACCTGTTTTTTATTTTCAACATGAAATTAGGGTGTTGCGTTTCTATTGACGGTGAGTATATATAAAAGGTTTTATAATTGATGTATACAGAAAATGGTCGGAAAATATAGAACCTTCCCCAAAAATGGGATTTTTGGGATCGGGGATTTATTTCCCTTTTTTGCCAAAGATTTTAAGGCAATTTAAATTCCTTCTCCTGGTTACTCCCCTCCCCTTTATAACGATAATACATGTATGTAAAAGTGGAAAATATGTGGGGAAAATCTTTAGAAGAAAGATTATTTTATATTCGCTCTAAATATGAAGTAGAAGAAGAATTCACTTGATTTTTGAAATTGTACCAAATACTCGGATCTCATAACAGTGTTATTTACAAGTATTATGAAACACACTGTCACACCAAGCTGCGTTCACACGGAGTCATTACGGCGTTGTTAAATTTTAAAAATCGCCGTGGAATCGCAGGAAAATTTCACAAATTTCTGTAAAATTTTCACAATATAAAGATGTCACGGCGTCCGTACGGCGACGGATGCGATTCTACGGCGATCTCACGGCGTTCTACTGCGTTCCCACGGAGATCTCTTGGCGATTGACTGCGCTTCCGCGGAGTTTTCACGGCGCGTTAGGAGTTTTCACCTCGTGTTCACGGCGTTCTCACTGCGCTGCCTGCGTTCACAATGCGTTCACAATGCGTTCTATACTCATTGATATATATTCAGAAAGAATATAAAACATTTTTGTTTAAAAATTCAAGTAACACGATGAAAAGACTTCTAATCATGCCAAGAAATATTCTTAATAATTAAAAATGATCTATTTAAATAATTTAGTTCTAAATTATTCATATTTAATAGTTTTACGATTAAACTCCTTTTTTCAATTTTATTGGTTCAGATGTGTTGTTAGATTTTCTTTGATTTTATTATGAATGTAAAAAAATAAACGCACTTAAAAGTTTTTACAAAATTTAAGTGAAACAACAGAGCAAGTTCTGGTGTAATTTTCTCTTCCATTTTTTTTCACTTAAATGCTCCTAGTGCAACAAATACGTTAGAATTATTGCTGATCAAATATGATCCCATTGCTCTTGTTTTGTGAGCTGGCTGACAACGCTCTAACAACGCCGTGAAAGCGCACTGTGATCGCCAATGGACGCTGTAGAAACGCCATGGGAGCGCAATGATCGCAGTGACAACTCCGTGCTTTCGCAGTGTAATCGCAGTCAAAAAAATCACAAGACGATAAATCTCATTAGAAGCGCCGTAAAAACGCGATAGAAAAGTAGTGACATCTCCAAGGACTCCGCGACTTCTCCGTGAGGTCTCCGTGGAAGCGCAGTCTACTATCACTGCGTTCGTGCCGCGATCATGTGCGTCTTCATGGCGTTCGTACGGAGCTCCCACTACGTTGTTGGAGATCTCACTGCGCTGCTACGGCGATCATACAACGTTTCTACTGCGTTCTTATCAGACCGCGATCACACGGCGCGTACTTTGTGCATGCTCAAAGTGATCGCCGTCCCCTGGCGTTCTAGGAGACCCTACGCGACCCTACGGCGTTCAGTGGAGATCTCGCCGCGTTGTCACGGCGCTGTAGGAGACTCTACTGCGATCACCTCGGCGTTTTGCATTTTTTGAGGACGCCGTGCAGTCGCCGTGAGGACACAGCCCCGGTGTGACAGGGGTTTAACCTGAAAGGTAACATTAAATCTAACAGTGGTGTGTATTCCATAAAGACAAAAAGGCTGTACACATAGCCTACACATCATTTTCTCAGGAATAGAAATTTGGTTGAATGAAGGGGCGGTGAGTTGATAATAAATCGTACCTTTTAATTTATTTTGTTGCAAATGCCAAAAAAAAGGATTCTTAGTGCTCAAACCGCACTTTTGTACATTTTATATTTTCATTTTTGCTTAATATTTAAGGACAAAACTATTCCCCTATTAATATTAAGTCTGTATCAGAAAATTTCATCAGAAGCAACAGGAGTCCATAATATGTACAGGAAAACGAAATTGATAACTTAAATTATATTTGGTCAGTAGGAAAGTCATGTTTTAATCGAATATATTCAGTAAGGAAGTTTCCATATATATTTTCTGAGCTGATAATCGAGTAACAGGATAAGTAGGCCCAAGAGTTCTCAGTTTTGCTAGTGGTCTTCACATCAGTTGAGTAAATTGTTATTAAAGATTGCTAAGTTAAATTAGAGCTAGAAAAATAGTTGAATAGTTTAACAATAATAATGATTAAATCCCTAAAATATCGTTTACTTTAGACTTTACACATATCAGATGTGACAAAAAGAAGGCGCCAATACTATAAACTATATCTATATTGGAAACAAGATGTGTTTGTGAAACACAGATGCCCCCGTGTGGCAACATAGCGAAGGTTAAGCTTTCTCAAATGCAGATCAAATATGTTGGTACCTAAAGTAAGGCTTTTCACGAGAAATACATATGTGAAATATTTTAAAAACCCTAGCACCTCCTGTTCAAAGGTTATGACCAAAGTTAACGTTTTTAAAGGTAGGACAAACTCCGGGGTCAAGATCAAAGGTCAAGGTTGTTGGTTTCTAAAAGAGGCCTTGTGTCAAAGATTACATATGGAAAGTATGAAAGCGCTGGCCCGATCCGTTCAAAAGTTATGGCTAAGGTTAAAGTTTGTAAAAAGTAGGCCAAACTCCATGATCAAAGGGTTAAAGTTGTTGATATCCAATGAAAGGTCTTGTCACAAGGATTACATATTTGAAGTATGAAAGCTCTAGTCCTTACTGTTCGAAAGTAATGACCAAGGTTAACGTATGTTAAAAGTAGGTCAAACTCCAAGGTCAAGGTCAAATAGTCAAAGTTGGGGATATCCAATGAAAGGTCTTGTCACAAGGATTACATATGTGAAGTATGAAAGCTTTAGCCCTAACTATTCAAAAGTTATGGCCATGTTAATTTTTTTT